CATCAAAATTTGTGTTATTTCTTATCCTTCCTCTGGAGCACTTTCGATTATAATAGATTTTTTATTTTTTTATTTGTTGACTCTTCCCACTTTTTTGTCCTTAGGTGAGTTGGTTTATTGCAATGTCATTTAACTTTGTAAATAGTCCTTGTATTTACCCATATTCATATGCAGGTCGAAGGATCCAACTGCGATCCGGACGGGTTGGCGGGACTATCCTCATGACTGCCTCACCTGGCAGCGCCATGGCCGGCTACGCATCCCCGACCGATAACAACCTCTTGAACGGCCCCTTTCATGCTGTCATTGGCTTTCCTGCCACCTTGAATCCCTCTGCGGTTACACTTGCTAATGGCGGCAATACTACTGGCTCAATCAATGTTAATAGTGTTTCTAGCAATCATGGCATCACTACTCAATGTGGATATCCCATTTCTGCCTCCAGAAGTATGACATCGTGTTCTACTGCTGGACCTCGTCTTAGGCTAGCCCCTGGTTTTATGACTACCTCACGTGGTCTTGCTTGCCAGTCTGCCCATCCGCTCACTTTTACTCAGCTAGAAGCAAGCAACTGCAGTACAAGACCCACTCCTGTACCTACATTGATCGGCACGATTTCCTTACCGACTGCGTCGTCTAACCATGGCAGTAATGGAACAATTACAATAGCAGCATCTGTCGCGAGCCCGGGATCACGAGCCGCAACTAGGGCTAATGGAGCCGAACTCCGCTTACCTAGTGGAGCTACGTTAACCCTTGCCTTAGCACCTAGTCGAGCCGGCACTATGACGCCTGCTGTTAAGCATCAGCTCTGTCAGGATAGCCTTCATGCTGAATCTCAAGGTAAGGGACCTTTTTCCTCTTATTCATTGTTCTAGGATATTATTTTTAGAATGTGAGGTTTCGTCATACCTGATATATATATATATATATATGTGTGTATGTATGTTACTTAGCTTAGCTCCATTTGACTACAATATTTGTGTTCTTTTCTAATTTATACTTCACTTCCATGAGGATTTGACAGTTTTTATACATTTGATTGATTTCATTATCTTGTTAAGGACACCCTTCAATCGAAATGATTGCTTTTTATACCTA